AATTAAGGTAGCATATATGATCCAAGAGGAAAAATAAATCCATTAATTAACCTCAAAGCTTTTAAGAGAGTATTCTATCTCCAAAGCTCCTACCTCACCCTATATTAACCACCATTACTCGCCCTATATTAAAATAAAAACATTTTACTTGCAATATATATAAGTAAAGATCAAGAGATTTGAAGCTTGTTAATGCTTTGTAAAATATCTTCAATTTTAATTATTTTTGCAAATCACCTCTTCAGCCCTCTTAGGTGATCACACAAAATTTTTGGTACCATTCACAGTCACTATGCTTCCACACCTAACATCACCATAGTTGTACTTCCCTCCATATCCACAGCATGTCACAAGTTGCTTCTTGAATCCTACACATTCATCAAAGCAACTTTATTTCACGCCTATAGATCCTTGTGCTTGTGCATATGAAAATATGATCATTAATTGTATTTGTCTTACTGTGTTTCTTTGCATTGTTGATTAGATAATACTTGATAGAGTAGACATCTACATAGGTGATTGCAACTAAAGGAAGATCCTTTCAAAGCTAAGCTACGGCTTCCTTGATACACTTGTGATTGAAACTACTGCCTCATCCTTGTGATCATATATAACACCCTGACAAGAGGTTGAGCTAGCCATCAGTGGCGATAGCAAAAGTTCCAGTAACATTGACTTTCAAACATCACCCTCCAATACACTCCCTTTTTACCACCTCTGAACCTTCTATATATAGATTCATTTTAGATCATAGTGTTGTAGCTTGAACCTCCTATGTGTTGATTATAGTTATTGAAAATTGAAAGAGAAATCAATAAAATTTAATTGCCAAGATATTTGAATTAAATTCACAAAATAAAATTTAAATTGGCATCTAATCTTATTAAAATTTGATTAAAAAATATTGATGTGGTTTAAAATCAATTAATGCATGTGTTATAGTGGGTTGATTATTTTTGGAAATATTCCAAATTGAAGGAGAAATTGTTAAAAATATATGGAAGGAGTAATCAATGGAGAAGAAATTAATGGGATGATTGAAGCTCATATTTTGGAAGATATAATCATATGTGGTTCGTAATATGCTGGCACGTGTACTTTGGAATCCTGATTTTATATATATATATATATATATATATATAGATTGTCAAACTTTTAAGTTGACTTTTTAAATTTAATATTTTTACGTTACAAACTCATAAAATTATGTCAATTCACTTATAAATTTAAATTAAACACAAACTTAGTTAAACTTATGAGTTTACCTTCAAGTTTATCATTTTTAAGTTTCACACTTATAAAATCATGTCAACTAATTTAAAAATTGAGACTGGATATAAACTTAGTTAAATTTGTTAAGCTTGTCAATTTTTGTTGTTGAGCGAGTTAAGTATATATTATGAAGAATTCAGTTTATAAAAGTTACAGGATTTGGTTCAAAGAAAAGAAAACTTGAAATGCAAAAATAAATATTAATAAAAAAGAAATTTCAAAAATAAGTTCCCCTATTTTAAATTTTTTTGTATATAATAATTTATTAATGTAGATGGATTTAATTTTAATAATTTATATTTTTAATATATTTAAATAAAATTATAGTTATATTTTAATGGCTATTTGTTAATAGAGGTAAACTCTTTTAAGTTTACAATACAAATTTGTGATAGAAGTTTACTTAAACTTACGAGTTTAACAACCTTACTTTAAAACATTGATCAAATAAAAAAATACTAATGTGCAGTAAATCAAATCAAAATATCAATCAAATGCCCTCCGGTCCTATTTAAAAAACACATTCTAGAAGTATTTTTTGGTCCAAAATATAGAATACTTTGTAATAATTAAACAACTTTTTTCATTTTTACTTTTTCTTGATTAGCGTGAAAGTATGTAATGTAGTTGTATTATTCTTTAAAGCTAAGGGTAAAAACAAAAGTACATATCACTTTTTTATAATATTAAAAAAATTAACTTTTCTTAAAATATGTGAAACGATTGAAAGTGTCTTATAATAAGGACGGGAGGGAGTATATTTTTTTAGGCCATCAATCAAATACATATATACTTTAAAATTAATTATACATTTTTTCATATTTGTAATTTTAATAAGATGTCTTAATTAAAAAAATATTATTAATTACATCCTATGTTAAAGCCAATTTTGAAAAAATTTTACTCCATCTGTTAAAAAATATAAGTCATTTTTAACTAAATCATATTCTAATAAAGTAGTTAGTTGTCTCCTAATTAACACCATTTTTTTATGTTTACCCTTATTTAATAAGGTATTTTATTTTAAAATAAATGAAAAGTGACTTATTTATTAGATACACTTTTAGTAAAAACACATTAATTACACATTGAAATACTTCATGCATTATATTTTTAAATATTCAAACTCTCAATAAATAACTTATATTTTTTAATAAAGAGAGTATTTATTGTACTTTAAAAGATAAAAAATGTTTCATATTCTTAAACATGATATCTTAAAAAATGTATTCTAATTTTAAACAAAGAATATACATCAGTAACAATGTAACAATCCTTTAACATGGATTTGTCCCATAATTCACAACACCATGGGTTTAATCCTTGAGCAAAAGCTCTCCTGTAAAAAAAATTTCTTACATTAAATTTTAAAATATTAATAAAATATTTTTAATTTTAATATATTAAATTTAATTTTTAAAATGAAAATAATTAACATAAAAAGTAATTATTTTTAATTGATAATGTGAAGATTAGAGGCAAAAAAATACCTTATAAAATTAAAGAATTCAATTAAAAATTTACATAAAATTAGAGGATAGAAAAAGTACCCTTTAACTTAAATAAAGCGTATAATATATGTTCAATTTCTGACAGTTAATTAGCTATCATTACTTATAGGTATTAACTCATGACCTACTCCTCTTTTTCTTGGCCAATTTTACCATTAAATATCACCTAATCAAGAGTGGACAATTTGACAAGACATCATATTCCTTAGTGCCCGTAACACCCTCGATGTTTAAAAAAGACAAAAAAAATATCCCTATCACAACACACTAGGTTCATCATTGGTGATTCATCCTGAGGTAAGAAAACATTAATATATTTTTATTCAATTAAATTAAAATAAGTAAATTTTAATATATTAATGATATTAATAAAAATTTATTATAAAATAAATAATATATAAAGAATTCACTTCTCTTGATTTAATTGAAACCAAGCATATTAAGTATATAAAGTTAAGTATATGAATCTTTCTAAAATAAAATATTGGTTAACAAATTTAGTTAAATGTACAAATTATAAAGTAAGAGATTAAAGTAAAAAACTTGAATATATTTAGTCAAGACACCTTGAATGTTTAGTTTTTTTAATTATATAAATATTATTAGACATTAAATATAAACACATCTCTCAGTTATATTATGAAGAACTAACATCTTTTACTAAACATATAACAAGCCTCATCATCTCATGTCACAATGTTATTATATTTCATTAGTGGCAAACTCTTTTGATAAATAAATAAAAAGTCTACTAATATTCCATCAAAATTATAGAAAGAACATTTTGAAAAGATGAAAATAATTCCATATGCTTTAAATTAAGAAATTGATTGCTGCAAATATTGGAATAAGATCATGGAAAGTAGACTTAGGATTCTAATATCCAAAATATTAAAAAGAATAATTAGGTGTCCTTGAATTTACTAATCATGATCATGTTGTTAACAACATTATGTTCATGATTTGGTGTTAATGGTGGGTCGTGATTCTTGTCCATTACTCCTTTTGTGTGTTAACTTTTTTATTAAAGATTTTGTTGAACAGAAGGCATAGAGAATGAATGAAAAGATATGTCGGGAAGCACTTAAACTTGGAGCTTTTTAAATCACAATGATGATAAAATCCACCCACCCCACTAATAAATCATTGGAAGAATTGCATACAAGTCTCATTTAATATAATCAATTACTTTTAGATTCATTAACTATTGAGTTTATCATTCTCCAAAGCTCATTTGTCAATGGACCTGAAAATAATTTAATTGTGTTAAGTATGACTTTAAAATAATTCTCCCTAAATTATTTGACTACCTTTTTTATAGTACTTATATTTAAGCATTGTCAAAAGTAACTTTCTTAAAGGCATTTATTCATATAGGGTAAATGAGAAAATTTTTTGTACAATATTCCTCTTTAACTTTTGAAAACAATGTAATCTTATCCTTGTCGAATAACATAAAAAAATTTTAAAAATTACAGTAAATGACCTAAAGATTAAAGACAAGGACCTCAAAAATTAAAAAAAAAGACCAAAAAATTTTCTTGATCATTTTATAGTTAATTAACAATTAAAATTAACTTTTTTTAACAATAAGGGTCAAACTACATCATTTTTAAAAGTTAAAGAAAAAAGTTATACAAAAGATAAGTTTAGGGTTTTAAACATTTTTTAACATATAGTTTAAGAATCAATTTGCTCATTCACCTTTATTTATAAGTTAAATTATTAAGTATATCATAAGAAGACCTATTTTTTATTTTTTTTAATGCTCTCCAAAAGACATGTTATATAATTTTAGAAAACTAAAAAATATTGTAAAATGTTTTTCATTTAAAAATTATATAAACTTTTCTTTGGCCAATAAATTTGTATGAAGTTTTAAGAATAGAAGTTGTGTATAATTTGAAGCAAATTTTAGAAGGTTTGACATATTTAAAAATAAAAATAATTAAAAATTAAAAATACTTACACTTGTAGAAAATACTGTAATTAAAAGCTATCATGAAGATGAATAAATAGGTTTTTAAATTTTAATATATTTGAACTCTTTGATAATCTCAACAAAAATATATTTGAAGATTTAAACAAAGTTTTCACAATAATATATCACCAATTTGATAAAGTTTTCTCAAACATACTCAGTTTGAAAAATGTGTTAGGGTTTAAAAAAAAGGGTGATATTATTTAGGGTGAATAAAAAATATCAACAAATTGTCAAATTCCAATTTAGGACCTTTGAGGTGCTAGAATTTAAGGAATTTGCAATTCATGTTTCACATTTAACCTGAAAGTATTAAAAGCATTGTCTTCCTCACAGGTGTTGGAATTTAACAGAAACTTTCAAAAATTGACATTCAAATGAGCACAACCACGATCAGCAACTTATGTTTTTGGCATTTAACAACGATAGGTCTCCTGAAAAAAAAAAAACGATAGGTCTTGATTTCAAATTTAGCAATTTGGTGGTCAAAATGAAATTAAATGGCTCTACTAGTCTTAAAATGTCATTTCACTATTATGATGTAAGGCATGTGTATAGTATAATTTGTTTTAAATTGTATTAATATATTGATTCTTTTTGGTAGGGTGGGTGTGTGTTTTGGTATATCAATGAAAAATGCAATCGACAAACGGAGTGTATAATAAATTATATTTTGTTGATACATTTACAGATACGATAAACCCAATAAAAAGCTTGCAGAAAGAAAAGAAATATAGCTGTGTATCTGAGGCCTTTTTTAGGAGGGTCTCTAGTCTCCACCCATTTTTCTATATTATGATAATTAATTCGATTTAGGACTCGAATTATCAAAGGCACATTCTTTTCGGTATAAAAATGCTTAGGTGATTAGCTGTGATATGGTGTAAAAAGAACAGCTAATGGGGGATATAAAGAGAAGACATTTGAGCACAATATGAGAAAATGTTATTTTGGAGAAGAAAGTTTTGACGGGAAAGATGATAGGCATATAAATCTAAAGAAGGGAAAATATTATTGAACTCATGAAAAAAATTTAATATCTGACAAAGACTTCAAAAAAAATAAACATTCACAATTAAAAAGTAAAATTTAAGTTTTAATAAGTATAAGAATCATCTAAATTCTTTTAAAAACCTTTCAATGATACTCTCCCCATAAAGAAATGAAGTGCGTATAAAGATGCTATCATGCAAGTTGGAGCTTTGGGTGCCATTTTCAATTAAATATTGGCCCACTACTTACAACATGAAAGAAGCGCATGCTTCCACTTGTGGGGTTTGTGTATGTTATGTTGCAGTAATTGGTGAATTGACCTTTACATCAAGAAAAAAAGAAACTCCAATTAGCAAGACAGATCCCATTTTTCTAATGTCTATTATGACTTTAGGATCAAGGGATATGCCACAACAGAAGTCAAATATATTAGTAACCACTTCACTGTCCTATAAAAATTAAATAAAACCTTAATCTCTTAAATGAATTGATATCTTTTCAATTATATTCTTGTTAAATATTTTTTTTCAATTATATTCTTGTTAAATATTTCATCTAAGTGTCTTGACAATGATTATTGAAATGCTAGAACATCATTTTTTTTCAAAAAAAAAAAGAGTAATTAAATTATGCAAGGGTTGATGGAATATGAGATAATAGGTAATTTACATAATTAAAATTTATTTAAAATATTAAGATTATCAATTAGAGATATTTGAATAAGGATTTTATCTATTAAAATCAAGATTTATTATTTATTTTATTGTTATATTAAATATCAATATCTTTAAGATTATAGTTAGATTTAATATTTGAGATTTGACTTTAAATTATTATTATTTTTAAAGCTCTATAAATCAATGTTTTTAAAACCAAATCGAATATTGAACTGAAAAGGCTAATGGTTCACAATTCGTATGGTCTAACCGAGTTGAACCAATAGTTAAACTGATGACATAATAATTAAATTAAAAAATTATATATAAATATAATAATCTAAATATAAAAAATAAATATGAAATTGCCACTTAACTTAAAAATGAAATCAAATATTTTAAGTTTATCATGATTTAACAAGTCATATGATACAACATAATATCAAATAATTAAAAGAATAGCTCATTGTCTGAAAAAATTGATAAAAAAATAAAAATTGAATAGTTTGATTTTTAAAACTAGATCCGGTTCCCGATCTGACTGCCAACTCAAAGTAGCCCAACTCCTTAGACTACTTTTTTGGCTTGATCAAGCTATTAACTCGATCGATTGACGGTTCAATCAATTCGACCGTCCGATTCGCTTTGAGTTTTTAATCATTGCTATAAATAACCCAAACCTTCCCTAAAGCCACATATCATCATATAAAATATTTGAAGGATAATTTTCAATCCAAATATTCATGATTTTATATGGAATATTATCATGAATGCACATGCAGGGGCAAAATTATTATGGCACCCCACCTCGACATGTTAGGCATCCACAGTATAGAGGAAAATAATTGAAGAATGACGCCAATACTGGTATGCATATGACCAATGGTGCGGTAATGAAGCATGTCACAAGGTTGAATATGCTTGATGAATTGTTGAGGAAAAAAGTTTTGATGCTAAATTAAAAAGAGGCAAATAACCAAAGTCAAATGTTGCATCGCTGAATTGAAACATCAAATTTAAGAAAGTACACGTCTAACTAAGAAAACAGAGAAGAGTTTCCAACAAATTACAAAATCAATGAGTAACCAAAATCTGCCCAGTGAGTAGATAGAGAGTAGATAGATGTTGAAACTCAAACACTGGAATCAAAAGAGTCTATTATAACTCTTATGGAGCCCAATCATGAGAATAGTTTGTTGGTCCTAGCACCCTTACCTTCATAGGCTCCATTAAAAGTTTCAACAAAAGTGCCTCTAGTTGTCATACAAGTGGCATCTTCTTAAGTTGTAATCAGCTAAAACCAACATTACCTCACCATAGATTCACCCCAACTACAAGCTATACTTGCCAACCAACCTTGCCTCACTATAGATTCACCCCACCTACAAGCTATACTTGCCAAGAATGTCCTGTCACTTACTAGGAAGCTTCAACAATATCTTGTCTGTTGGAGAGGTTTTTCAAATATTTCTAATAACCAATGTTGTCCTCCACATGATGCAATTTGTTGCTACCTCACTTATTGGAAAGGATCTCTAAATCGATGCATTTAGATGAAATTTTATCCCACCTATCTCTCCTCAACTGAGTTATTCCTTAATTTTAATTGATCGGAGACTAGTTTTTCAAGCGAGGGAGAAATGATGGAATATGAGATAATAAGTAATTTGGATAATTAAAATTTATTTAAAATATTAGAATTATCCATTAGGAATATTTGAATAAAGATTTTATCCATTATAATCAATATTTATTATTTATTTTACTTACCTTAAATATCAGTATATTTAAGATTACATTTAGATTTAAGATTTGAGATTTAAATTTAAATTATTATTATTTTATTATTTTTAAAGCTCTATAAATAGAGTTGGGTTCTTCATTTGCATTTAACTTTTGGATATCATTAAAAAAAAAAAATCAAGAGTTTTGGTGTTCTCCCTCTCCCTCCCCCCTCTCTTCCCCTTTTCCCTTCTTGTTTCACATCAGGGGTAGAGTTGAAAAATACAATTATAAAAACTATTTAATCTACTATATTTTGAATCAAATAAAGCTTCTAAAAAATGCTCTATATTGTGATCAAGAGGAAGTAAATCAAAACAAGGGGAAAGTATGCAGTTGATACAGCTGAAAAGAACCTTCATTTTCTTCCACATGCCCAAACACAAAATCACCCCACTTGATCCTTCTTCCTCATTATTCAAGAGATATTTTCAGTCACAAGGGAACAAATAAGACTACTAGAGAAGGAAAAAAAAAAAAACAAGTTTCAATTGGTTATAGCATTAGAAAGATATTCCTCATTCATTAAGCTAAGAATAAGTTTCAATGAACAATGTCACAGGGAATTCAAGGCGCAATCAATTGGAACAAGATCATGAAATGTCTACCCATCTATCCTTTAATGCATAATCAACTTAACAAATCCGATTACTCAGACAACTAAATGCTGATTAGACCACAAAATGGTTCAAAATTAAAGAGGAAGAAGGTTAACTCAGCATACACATATATATCACACCTAGGCCCCATCTGGCTGCACAAAGGGGTTTGCAATCTCATCTGTACCGTCGGTTGGGGACACAAGCATGACGGCTGTTCCCCTACAAACCTGCAGTACAACAAAAGCAGTCAAGTGCCCGGAGTAAAGAAATTTTCACCAGTGTTCCAGAAGTTAAGCTTGATAAAATTCAAACCGCATAATAGAAACTGGAAAGACACGAATCATTTTAAAATGAGTTTGTGCATGCAATGTTGTGAATTTCAAATTTAGCATGGTGCTAATACCATAAGTTCTTTCTAGCGGCCTCAGAATATATGAAATTTTAGCAAAATTTTTCCCTGCCCTTCATTCTCAGAAACCCTTAACATATCCCAAATCATATAAAAGTAATATTGGCTTTTCCTCCCATAAAAAGCACAGCAAAACAGTGTACTTCCTCCCTGCAACTCCTTAACACGCTCGAATGAACAACCTTGGAATACTCTTATTCAGCAATCGTTGGATCCTAGGAAGGGCTGGACAGAGAAGAAAAATATAATAACTAGGAGTTGCGTCTTTTATGAAGCTCCTTTTGGTGTTTTATTTTTATTTTCTTTCCCTGTCATTATTCTCGGACCTGAACAAATAAGTTGATTAGTTTATACAGCTGCTGCCTGTATTTTGCAAGTGTCAACAGTTAAGCACCCTTTTGTCTTCCTGAGCTAGAAAAACTCGAACTCAAAATCAGCGAAGTTCATTTGACAATTCTTTTTCAACTTAAAACCCACGGAAAAGATGAAGATGCAAGATTTCTCGGTAGCATGCCATTTATCTTCTATATAACTAGTAGGATAAGGGTACTATCGATAAAGCAGAGTGAAATTAATAACATTGACAGCCTCCTAAGGGCATGGTGTCAAAATAGAGTTTAGTTCTACAGATTTATGCATGATAAAACAACAAAATTCACCTTACTTTACCATGATCAATCATGGGGCCACAAAATACATCTAAAGTCTGGTCATCTGAAGCAATATTTTCAGACAATAAGGTTCCAAATTAATTAATTACATAATATTTTTGTTGTTTCCTTCCCAACAATGTTTCATAAACAGATGGCAACAAGCCCCCTTCCTTTATCATTTCTGTTTCTCTTCCCAATATAAAATAGCCATTTTCATCTGCTCTTGATGAAGTAGCTTATAGAATCAAAATGCATGATTCATCTATTTGCCAAATGAGTTCCCCTTTTATATCTCTATGTCTAAAAGATATTTACTAAGGAAAAATATCCAGTAGCAGACTTCAAATAAATGGTTCAATGACTCAAGTTAATTTTGAGTACAGGTAAACTAGAATTTATTATATAGAAGATCTAAGTTTGATGTTCATGTGATAATAACAAAACCGCAAAGGAGGAAACCTACTATTAAGCCAAGACGTCTGGTCTGATCAGTGGTTTTCAGTGGATCATCAGGATCTGCAGCAGAAGAGAAAATAAAATGCATTTTGTTTTATCACATGCAATGGCATAATTTTTTCAAGGTTAACAAAATATGTTATGGACTTATGCCACACAAAATAAATTTTGACACTTCTACTCATAAACTCCTGAAAGTTTCCAGTCCAAGATTTTGCAAATGGGCATCCATATAAAATATTAAAAAGTGTAGAGAGCCATACTATTCACAAAAGTGAACAGTGCAACTCATTGGGTTCTGTGCAAAAGCATGGCACCCACTGTGGTAACCCTATTGGCAGTTCACTAGTTAAAGCAACTAAGAATTAGTCTTAACTGTTTATTAATATATTTTTTTTTCAATTGTGACAATGCTACACTCAATGGGTAGGACTCAACATTGTATATACAAGGAGGAGCTGATGTGGCATCTATCAAGGAGAAACAACAAACCTTGTCCCCAATAAGCTTGGTCCACTACATGGATTGCACGACACCATTGTGCTCTATTATCAACCAAACCTTTCGGAATATTGTTAATCAAAAGGTCTCATTCAATAACTTTCATGCGCAGAATCCATGGAAAATTATTTAAGATAGTTCAAACATGTATAGAGAAGGCCATCATAGGCGTCAATAAAGAGGGTAGAACGAATAGTTTTGAGTCATGTGAAGAGTAGAGAGAGACGGGAAAAAAAAAACTTAATGAAATCATTAAACAGGATCTTTGAATAATAAAAGCATAATAACATCATCCAATCCATGTAGCCGACCCTACTTAGTAGAACAAAACTTGACAAGGCTTCTTGTTACAATGCGCCCCTCTTCTATTGTACATTTTCTTTCTTTCTTTTTTTATGAGTACTGGATGGATCAATTCACTTGATAATATTTGGGAGACTGTGGAAATTGTTCTCATAATACTTCACATGTAAGGCTTAGTAGCAAGCATGCAACATGAATAATTCTATGGATTCATGCTACCAAGTTAATTATGAAAATCTTATTATAACTTCAAATCTTTTGGCAGATTCAGCCATGCAAAAATTAGTGATGTTTCATCAAAATGTTAGCTTATCCATCTAAGCTGTACATGTGACCCTTGATTAGAAATGAAAAAGTGACAATTTGCATTTTCCTTTTAAAAAAAAGAGCATGTCAAACTCAATGCAGAAGTTGCATTTATGAAGTTGAATACATAATTCAGAATTAAGGACTCAGTCAAAACTACTAATTCATATGTTTCTATCAGGAAAAAATATATATGTTAATAACTCAAGAAAAGCAAATAAGGTGTTGGTAATATTTACCTCTCAGATATTCTAGAGCTTCATCCAGGACAAGGTTAAGTAACTGATCATAACCTTTTAGAGTTCCCGTGACTGCAATGCCACAAATTAAATATAAGGAGGCTTTATAGGAGAAGTTACTAGCAGTTTGTTCCATAAAAAACGCAATCTTTCTTAAATCAGTCCTTGCCATTTGTTACTAAAAAAGTAAGCCTAATTTATGTGTTCAATAACTAAATTGAGAATATGGCATAATGTTGAGTGACAGCATTCTAATAACTCGTATTCAAATTCTTCATCATTATTGATATCATTATTTTCTTTTAATTAGAAAATTAATGTTTGCTTCAAAGCAATTTGGATCACAAAGGACATGGCATCAAGTTTAAGCAACGACTCAAGTACACCAATGGTCACAAATCAGTATTTAGGGACAGTGAGTCCTGGTGAACGACAACAAACTTATATACAGAGAAGTAGACATTGTTAGTTTGTAGCCATAGGAAAATTCGGAAAGCCAGAATCAGATTATGATGCCTAAAAAAAACTGCTTGTTGAAAAAGCACGCATGCTTCACAAAGCCTGCTCAGCCAGCAAATACTCAAGTTTATTCCGCAAAGATGCTCTAAATATCAAATTGATACTCGAGATTGTGTCACTTTAGTACCAAAAAGCGTGTGTGTGTGTGTGTGTAAGTGTTTCAATTTTACAGTTCTTGGGTAGAAAAATGGTATTGAGACACCAACAAGAAATATGCAGAGTTGAGGAAAAAAATCATATTTTGCATACCAAAGTGATATAAATTATTAATGAAGTATTAAATTGACAATGACACCATCTTCCAAGTAGCAAAATAGGCTTTTGCCTTGAAACAATCCAAGTCTATCTCTATCTCCAAAAATCAATTAAACTTCACGGCCTATTCTAATAAACTGCATGCTTTTAAACTAGGGATAAGGGAAAAAAAAATGAAATTTGGATTACCTTGTCTGCCACCAGTAAGCTTGACTTGAACCCCTTTGTCCACAAATTTTGCCAGGTCCAGAACAGTTTCTTTCCTACCCGACTAATTATACAAAATAACCCAACAATTAAGGAAAGAAAAGCAACCTAAGGCCTAAAAAATGAAGAAGCTGAACCAACAGAATAGCCCCTTTACAAGCTTTTATATTTTCCCGTATGAGTGCCAAATAAACTTACCATGTCTCAGTAGGACTCGGCAGCTTCTATTGAATTTCTTCTGCATCACAACGAAATTCGAGCTGTAAATTGTGAAATAGAAACAGCCATAGCAATACATAATTACACATACACTAACGGAAACTACCTGCAACAGGAGACCGAGTGTGAAGCGCGCACAGCGGACGAGTTAGCGAAAGGAGGCTCCGCTTATAAATCCAAAATGCGCGCTTTACCGGTGGAGCTTTGGGCGGGTTAAATAAGACCGGGTAGAGCCGATTCAAGGCAAACCGGCAAGGCAAATGCACAGGCCTTTCATTTGTCAACATGTTTCTAGGCCTCTCAAAACGATCCATGATCTTAACCAAAAAAAAAAGAAAGGAGGATCCATTACAAAAGATTAAAATTAAGACTTTAAAATCAAAATCATATAGGGCTTGTTTGTTTATTTTCTATTTTTTATTTTAAAAATTATTTTTTTAAATTATGTTATAAATCAATTTTTAAAAATTTTTTTTAAAAAAATAAAAGAAAAATTCATTTAATTATGTTAATTTAAAAATAATTTTAGAGTTAAAAAAAGCAGTTAGTGGTGATTTTTTTTTTTGTTATTGTTGAAGATAGTGGTGATTCTTAATGGTTTAATGTAATGGCTTACGATAGTGATTAACTATAATTAAAAATAATTTAAAATAATAGTAAAATGTATTGTACTTTAAAAATAGAAAAACAAAAACAGTTCTAAGTTGTTTTCATCTTTCATTTTTAAAAATAAAAATTGAGAATAGTTTTGAAAATATTTAAATTCAAAATACATACCCAAATAATTTTTTATTTTTAACAAAATAATTTTAAAATAGAAACCAAACAAGCCCTTATTCTCAATATAAGTTTCTTGATTACAATATAAGGTATTGATGAATACTTTACTGTTTAAAGGGAAAAAATTTGCATAAGAAGACTTATTAAAATTTTATAATATGTATTTATATATTATGTCATTGTTGTATTTTTATTGTCATTCATTTGTTTTTCCTGTTAAAAAATATAACAAAACTTTGTATAGCATTGATAATATTAATAAATAGAATTTTTTTGGATAAATAATATATAAAAAATTAATTTTCTCAAATTTGATTGAAATAAAATATTTTAAATATATAATACTAAATATATATATTTTCTTTTAAAAATAACTAGAGACATGTTTTCCTATCTTATATAAGTCACATTTTATAAATAATTTATAATCATTTTTATAAGTTACTTTACTTAAAAAAAAGTAGATAATTGATCATTTTCTTTTAATTTCTTTGGATGACATATTTTCTTTCAATTTTACCCTTTTTAAATTTTTTGATAAATAGGGAGTAAAAAATTACATGAGAGAAAAAATATTTTTTAAGATGATAATCAGAAATATATTTCTTTTTCAAACAAAATCAATAATTTTTATCATTTCTTATTTTTGGTGAAATAGTTAAAAATAATTTATATGTATTATCAAAAAGAGTAGATAAAGTCTCAGGTCATCCAACTCGTTGCTTTTTTGATGTCATGGCCTAAAAGGTACCACGGTAAACGTGAACTAAGGTAAGACGTTAATCTTTATCTTTATTTTATTTTATCTTGTAAAATCCATCAGGTGATAATGTAGGCCTACAGTTGTTTGAATAGTATATTTCCAATCTTATCGTTATATTTTTTATTTTTTTCCTCTCCTTCTAACATTTGGCTCTGTGGTCCACTGCCTTTGAATCCTCATTCGACGCTCATTAGGCTAATGAGCACCAAGAGCTCATTAATAAATGAGCTAATCTCAACCCTTCATTTTAGTATAAAATAATTCCTGCCTTTCATTTTAAATTAATTTTTTTATATTTTTAATATAGTCTATATTAAAATAAAAATTATAAAAAATATTAATATTAAATATAAATTGTGCAAAGTATATTTGAATGCTCATCAAGGGAATAAAGTATCATGATTCTCATTAACTTATGACATCTGAGCTATTCAAATTTAATTTTTTTATTTATCAAAATAAGAATTTATAAGTGGAAAAATAAGAATTTATAAAATTTATTAATTTTTTACTAAATTTGTCAATACAGTACAAATTTAGTTTAGATGGTCTAATTTAATATTAATTTTTTTATAATTTTTATAAATTGACTATTCAAATGTACTCTAAATAATATATGTTTAATCTAGAAGGTCAACTTTAATATTAATTTTTTTGAAAAAAATTATTCTAGACAGCTTAGATGTACTCTGAACAATCTGGATGTAATATTAATTTTTTATACTTATTAATTTTTATTTTAATAAAGACAATATTAAAAAAAATCTAAAAATCAATTTTAAATGAAAGGCAAGGATTATCTCATGCTAAAATGAAGGGTTGACATCTCAATTTTATCTTTCTAGAACCGAGAATGGGTGAGAAAGCTAGAGAGAGGGAGAGCAACAATGGGCATGAGTCTAAGTTAGGAACGTCCAGTAGATTGGATGAGAATGGGAATGAAGGTTTATCTAAGATTAAGGAAGATGCTATAGCAAGAAATATCCGTAAACGTAATCTAGATACAGTGATGGAGGAATAAACAGCAATTGCTGAAGATGAGATAATGAAAGAAGCTAGAATTGAAAGTCAGAAACAAGAAAACATAGCTAAAAGACGAAATAAAGATGACCCCAAAACTCATAATGGAGCCACAAAAAATGATGGATAGCCACCCAAATATTAAATTGTCGGATGAGAGACTAAAGCAGTTATGCTTACCATGGAGGAATGCATTAGTTTTATTGGTGCTAGGTAAGACTGTGATATTGAAAGTACTCAAAGATAAACTTGAATGGATTATGAAATCTAGTAACTTTGAGCTTGGAGAATTGTTGAACAACTATTTTGTCTGTCATTATGATGATAATGCTTTAGGTCAAAGATTATTATTTGAGGATCATTGGCTTATTCAAGGGCATTATCTTACTATTTAGCATTGGAGCCTTAACTTCAACCTTATAGTAATGCTATTTGAAAAGTAGCTATCTAGGTGAGAATAGCCACACTTCCCATGCATTGCTATATTGAGTAGTTTATCATGGAATTGGGTAATATGGTTGGTAAAGTACTTAAAGTTGATATGGCCTATTGCAAAAATAGAGGAATAGTGATGGAGAAGGGGCATTTTGCATGGGTGAGTGTAGAGGTGGATTTGTGCAAGAGACTCCAATCTAGATTTGTTATTAGAAACTGCATTTATAGAGTAGAATACAAAGGTTTAGATGTCATTTTTTTCAACTGTGGTAAATATGGTCATCAGAAAGAACAGTGCCCTCTTCTGAGAATGCTAGAACAATCGGAGAAGGGAAGATCAAATTCCATGGAAACTAAAGAGAAGGAAGAAGGGACAATTTTATAGAAGGGATCGTTGGTTAGTGATCCATAGATTTCGACAAACAAAGATTTTGGTGGTTGGATGCTAGCTCGAAGGACCTTTAGGCAAAGACCATGGCAGGAAGATGTGAAAGGTAAATAACAAGTTAAGCAACCTATAGGTCATAAGTCACATCCACAAGACCAGTAGTACAAGAAAGCTCTAGATTCGACGTTTTGTTAGAAGAAAAGGAAGAGGAGGAGTTTTTAAGGGCTAAAGTAGATGAAGGACTTGACAAGAGGAATACTTACAAGAAGAAGGCTTCTACCTACGAATGAAGGGAAAAAGGGAGATAAACCTTCTGACATTATAGAAAAATACAAACCCTAGTAAAGTTGCTTGAGTGTTTTTTCATTTCTCACTCAACTCTCTCTTTATTTCCTTTTTTTTAGCTTATATTTGATAAGTCTAAATTTTTGGCCATACGATACAGTGCATGCTGTCGTACTGTAATGTGTGGTATAGTGGTATAGGAAGTGTTGTCTTGTGTATATTGAGCCATGGGTTGTGGTGCACACTTCCTACACCACATTATAGGGCACATATGGCTATCTTATCTGATTTTGGCCTTTGCACACGTGATACACAGCACACACGCCACAACAAGACTCCCTTCCCATATTTTCTTCCTTTTTTAGGGCCTGAGTAGCTCATTATTATTCCAAGCCCAATCTTAAGGCTACGATCACAACCTAATAGGTTCCTTGGCCTTCTTAAACGACACATCACATTAGTTTACCTAATTACCCTTAATTACTAATTTAGTCTCATTTAACTTGATTAATTGAGGTTAAGATTTTTGGGATGTTACACTGATGACCTTTAGAACATAGTTCCTATGAAAGACAAGCACAAACTAGACCACCTTCCTTAGATCTCAAGCCACCTTTGTCTTTAAAGAACCTCGATCTTCTTCTCCTTTGCAGATGGCAGCGGCAATAGCAATGAGGATGTGACCAACTTGCTGACCCCTACTAATGACAAATGCAAACCACTTAATCTAGAAAAGCTTCATTGATGTTGAATGCAAATCATCTCTTCCGCCTGTTGCTTTTGTTGTCTTTATGATTTCTTCTTCTTCTTCTTTACTGCATCTAGCTAAAGCCCAGTTCTTCATGATTTATTGTACTTCTTGTTTTTTGCATACGGCATCTAATTTTTCATTTTTGCTTTGATTTGGGTTGCGATTTTTGTATATGGCATCTAATTCTTACTTCAATCTAGGTTACAAGGGTGGTCCCTACTTTGATTTAGGTTAGGGCAAATTTTTTTAGGATGAGAGTATTTTTGTCTTTTCATATTTTTTACTAGTGAATAAAAATCATCTCTTAATTCTATAAACATATCAAATATACTTTTAAATCTCATATCCATATCTATATTCATTTTCATATCCATTTTTACTTCTATTAATATCATTTCCATTGTACCAAATGAGGGCATAATAATTTGCACTCATTGTGGAGGGTGGAAATTTCACTTTTTCAAATTCCACCCCAAACTAACCTCAAATGTTATAAAACAAATGTGTTATTTTGATAATTTCATTATTTATAAAATAAATAATATAAATTTTAGAAGTATGGGATGAATCACATTATTTATGATTTATGAATTATATAAAAGTTTAATTTACATGTATATATATTATCTTTAATATCTATATATTTATTATATATTTGATTAATAAATTAATATATTTGATATATATATATATGGGTACAGAGTTGATATTCATAACGTTTCACTGAGAGTGGTAATTAATTATTTTTTTAATAAATGGTAATTAATTAATTATCGCTAAGGGGACAGCTTGGATTTTGTCTGGGTCACTGCTCCGGATTTGATCCGACCCAGATTGACACATAGGGCATATTGGTAGTTTGATAGAAAGGCGAGGGCTTTTCAGTTTATAGAAATCCTATATATTGTTCTGTCTCCAGCAACTAGGGTTTTTTGAGTTGGAGTGGAAATCCGTGTTGGAGGCATTAGACTCGTGAAGCTGCAACAATGGTGGAGAAGACGGCGAAAGGGAGAAAGGAGGAGGTGGTCACCAGAGAGTACACCATCAACCTCCACAAGCGCCTGCATGGATGGTAACTTTTCAATTCTATCTCTTTGCTTTTCCATACTTGCTGAGATCCTACTCGATTCGTATGAAATTTTTGCTGTAAGACTAGTAAGAACTGTCAAGTCAATTTGGACGAGCTTTTGGGTCCATTGTCATCTTTTTCCTCGGTAGCGTGTATCTCTCACGGCCTTAAATTCCCTAGCGTTGTCTACTAAGTCCCAATACATGTTCTGATGTAGCTAACCGGTGTAATCTATCTTTTTCCCCTTCTGCGATTCGTTCTTACCTTGTAAATTTATAGATCTTAATGAGTCAGTGTAGGTTGAAGTTTGTTTAATTGCATCATCATTTTCGTATTTTTTTTCTAAAGGAAGTTTCTGAGGCATGCGTTGGTCGCTTTGACTTGTAATTGGGTATTTGGACTTTCGGCTGCTAGGATTAAGTTAAATATGTGATTTATGTTTGTGGTTGTCTTAGTTGGAGCTTTTGATCCAGCAATTAGAGTAAACTGATATGACTTAATTTGTATCGACCTGGCTGTCAAATAAATTGCTTCCTGTTTGTGCCATTTATTTTTGCTTTCTTGGTTCAGATATAGATGATAAGCTTCAACCTCTCTTAGAGTGAAATTGTTTACAGGATTCTATCGGTAGGTCCTAGTGAATCATGAGCTTGCAACTAGAATAGTGGGCAATACTAAAATTGTGACTATTCATTGGTCCTTCCTTGAGTAGCAGTTCAGCTGCTAGAATGATCTTAAAGACGAGTATGTTTTTTCTCTTTGTGATTGTCCTAGATGAAGTTTTTGGACTCGTATGTTGTGCAAACTGATACTGGTTAGATGTAGATGCATAATCATAGCAATTATCGCAATCTATTAACAGTGTATTCTCTGTATCTACTGAACATTAAATAGATTACTTCCTATTTGTGCTAATGTGTTATTATCATATATTGTATCAATAGGCCTAGTAGTGTGCTTGCGGGAGCGTTTAGAACTCTGTACCCAAAGCCCATGGATGAATGAGCCTTTTGAAACATGAGCTTTGGACTGGCATATGACCTAGCTGTTCAAAGTAGTTCATTTTGTTTACAACATGTTGATCAAATTCTTCAGTTAAATCATGTTCTGTTTTTATGAGCTTCAGGAGAAAGCTCATTGTGGGGAAAAATTTATGGCTGGACATGACTAGATTTCAATATCAGTGCCATATTGCAAGTCCTTTTGTTTCTTTCTCTGTCTAATGCATATTTTCTGCCCTCTAATTGCATACAGCACATTCAAAAAGAAGGCTCCAAAGGCAATCAAGGAAATTAGAAAGTTCGCCCAGAAGGCTATGGGAACATCTGATGTGAGAGTGGATGTCAAGCTTAACAAGCATGTTTGGAGTGGTGGAATCCGCAGCGTCCCAAGGAGAATTCGTGTTCGCATAGCCCGAAAAAGAAACGATGAAGAAGATGCCAAGGAAGAGTTTTACTCATTAGTCACTGTTGTAGACATCTCAAGAGAAGAATTGAAAGGTTTGGGCACCAAGGTGATTGATGAAGAGGATTAATCTACCCAGCCTCCTTAGATGATAGTTACTTTATCCATTTTTGGCTGTGTTTTTATTTAATTGCTGAGGTACATTTGACTGCTTTGAATACGCCTTTGTTGTTACCTGCAACGACAGGATTATGGAATTTTGTTGGATTTACTATTGCAGAGCGTTAAGTTCCATGTTTCCCGTGCTTATTTTGTCTTGTCAATCTCATTTTTTATTGCCTGTTTCAATTTAATAATGTCTGTTCCGTTGTCAATCTAACCCTCTCCTTAAGAAGTACCATCCGTCTTTATTAAGCAATACCTAGGCAGTACGATCCTTAAAATGGTGCATTTCTAGGTAAAATATTATTCAGTGCATCTTTAGCCAAAGGCATGCTTTCCCTTGGAAGCGTTTCGAATACGTTTTTTGTGGTATACGACTGGTCGATATAAACTAGGTATGCTTTATGAAAATCATCTCATCTATCCGTATTTTATTATTTATTGTTTTGGAGAAATCATCAACTATTTAGATTGAGATTTGATTTACTACAAACATTGCAAGGTCTCAAGTTTAAATGTTCTTTCAGCCTAGGACATTGTAAACCGTTGTCAATTAAATCAACATATACGTATTTTTTTATTGATTATTTATTTCATAATAAATTTGTATTATGAATATTATTAACCCATTAAAATTTACTTTTTTTGTTTAATTTGATAAAAATATTATTAAGTATTTAAGGTTTGTCCAATAAATTATAATTAAGAATGTAATACGTTAATGCAAATGGTCTTATTATTATGATACTAATTATTCTTGTTAATCGTTCTCTAAATTGTGTTAACGATTCTCATATCACACTAGTACGAAAAATTCTTTTCACGATGAGCATTCAGCAAAGTAAGAAAAAGCCACCTAAAAATTTAATGAACTACACTTGTTTACGTAGATTAAAAATTTTGTACGAATTTCTGGCTGTGGCCTTCTCTTTTGTGTTAAAAATAGAAATTCACCTAATTGCATGTAAAACTTGGTAGCAACTAAGAATGAGTTTCTTTCCCCTAACATAGAAGTTCAGTTTAGCAGAGTTAGTAGATTTTAGCTTAGATGAATGTTATATAAAATACAGTAACATTAAACTAACTTGTATTCTAATAAGGAATAATGTATTCATTCATTCATTTTTTTATTGCTCATAGTTATTTTTTTATGGACAACAATCAAATTTAAGGTATGGTTGAACACTATTTTAACAAAAATTCAAACATTAATTTGTTTTTGCTAGATCGAATTCTCAATTCATTTCTCTATTTTTAATTTTTATCTATGCTAGGATGCGGAAAACTAACGTTACCGAAGTTCTGTTGGCATTGTTTTTTTCTTCTCTCTCAACTCATTTTAAATTTTACCCATAGCCGAGCCTTTTTTTTTTTAAAAAAGAAAAAAGGAGACACACACTTATATAAGCATGTCAACACTAATTCTAAACTTGGAATCTCTTTTAAAAAAGTATGTGAGGCTGTTATAGAGATAGCTTGGTTTTGACTTTCCCTACTCATTAAAAACGAGTAAAGTATATAATGAAAAATAAAGAAAGAAAAGCTAATGATCACCACAGACGCTGACCACTGACAAGCAATTTTATTAAAATTGTTACGGAAATGTTTCTACATGATTTTTGTTTTAAGATTAACTCCTTCGACGCTGAAATAATTTGTTATTAGCGCGCGAAATTCAACCGTTATAGGTTGGTAGTTTATTCCTGAGACCCCTACTAGCTTATTCAATTTTGATGCTTTCTTCGCTTTTACTATGCATAAATCATGCGAGCACTGAAGAAGACATGTAGTTCTGTTTCTTCAAAAACTTCTCTTAAATTTCACACCATCTCGTGCCGAGAATCTCCACTTACGCGTCTGCTGGTTGCGTTGAATTCTTCACATTCTGTCTCCTGCTGCGGGGCGATTCATGCTCGAGTGTTCAAATCTCTGAATTACAGAGATGGTTTCATTGGCGACCAGTTAGTATCTACTTACATCAATCTGGGGTTCACAGATGACGCGGAAAAGCTGTTTGATGAAATGCCCCACAGAGACCTGGTCTCCTGGAATTCTTTGATTTCTGGGTTTTCAAAAAGAGGAGACCTTGGTAAGTGCATGAATGTATTTTTGAAGTTGAAATCTGAACTTACATGGGATATGAATGAGCTGACGCTTTTACCCATCATCTCAGCTTGTTCTTCTGCAAAAGGCCGGCATGAAGGTTGGTATCTTCATGGTAATGCAGTGAAATTGGGCATAAAGTTGGAATCCAAGATCGCTAATTCTCTTATAAATATGTATGGCAAGTTTGGCTGTCTTGGCTCTGCTTTCAGGCTATTTTGGGAAATCCCAGAACGAAATCTGGTATCATGGAATTCAATGGTGGCTATCTACGTCCAAAACGGGATCCCTAGAGAAGCTTTTCAATACTTTAATATGATGAGGCATAATGGACTCTTGCCTGACAAGGCAACAATTGTAGCCTTGCTTCAAGCTTGTGAAAACTTGCCTATTGGGAAATTAGCAGAGGCCATTCATGGTGTAATCTTAACCTGTGGTCTGAATGAAAATGTTACAATTGCAACCACGCTTTTAATCTTGTACTCAAAGTTAGGGAGATTACATGCTTCTCATAAGGTCTTTACGGAGATTGGTAAGCCTGATAAAGTGGCTTGGAGTGCAATGATCGCAGCTTATGCCATGCATGGGCATGGGAAAACAGCAATAGAATTCTTTGAAAGGACAGTAAGGCAGGGTATGGAGCCTGATCATGTTACTTTTACCCATTTGTTGAGTGCTTGTAGCCATTCAGGGCTTGTTGAGGAGGGAAAGTACTACTTCTATATCATGTCTGATGTTTATGGAGTTCAACCCAGATTGGATCATTATTCTTGTATGGTAGATCTTCTTGGCCGCTGTGGTCTGCTCAGTGATGCTCATGAGCTGATTAAGAACATGCCTTTTGATCCTAATGCTGGAGTCTGGGGTGCTCTTCTTGCTGCTTGTCGGGTTCACCGTAATATTGACCTGGGGAAAGAAGCTGCAGAGAAAATGATTGCTTTAGATCCATTAGATTCTAGAAACTACATTATGCTTTCAAACATATACTCTGCTGCGGGTTTATGGGATAATGCATCAAAAGTGAGGGCTTCGATGAAGGCTAAAGGTCTAATTAGAAGCCCTGGAATCAGTTTTATTGAGCATGGGAAGAAAATCCATCGATTTGTGGTGGATGATTATTCTCACCCTGATGCTGACAAGATACATGAAAAACTAGAAGAGCTGCTCAGAAAGATTCATGAGGCTGGTTTTGTGACAGAAACTGATTCTGTTCTTCATAATGTTGATGAGGAAGTGAAAATGGATATGATTTACAAGCACAGTGAGAAGATTGCCCTTGCATATGGCCTTCTGGTTACCAGCCCTGATGAACCATTAGTTATAATGAAGAACCTCAGAATTTGTCGAGATTGTCACAGCACTGCAAAGTTTGTCTCACTAATAGAGAAACGTACTATCATAATCCGAGATTCAAAGAGATTTCATCAGTTCTTGGATGGATCATGTTCATGTGGTGATTATTGGTAATTTTTATGGCTTTGATGGTGCTCAAATGATTGCCACAGATAGAAATGGCCATCATACAACAGTAATTTACCAGTGACTTGGTATTAACATGTTTTCTTCTCCATATTCATCCCACTTTTATTTTTCAGGTTTGCTTACCCTATACACAGAGAGGAAGGCAATTGAAATGTTTAGGATCAAAAGATATTCTCTTTTTGTAAATTGAAAACAATTGGATTAATCGCTGGATGTTCAGAAGTGGGCATTGGGAGCATTGTTAATCAAGATTATACCATCATTTGTTTGTGATTAATGAAATAAATAAGGACAAGGAAAGTTAATACATAGCCAATGGTGTCGAAGTCTAGTGGCATATATGCTCCCCTATAAGTGGGAGGTTGTGGCTTCAATCCCATTGATAACCTCAGGCTGTTAGTGTCTACCCTTCTAATTTTAAAAATGGGTAATACATAACTGGATTTTCTCCAACACTGAGACAAGATGATAGCTAAATGAAATAATGAATGGTTAGCTTACCAGCTACCTACCCCTTTGCCTCTTCATGTTGTTGAGAGAACATAAACTTAGTATAAGTTACTAAACATGAATTTGTTACATGCCTGGATGTTGCCAATGTTCTTTCTTCTTTCTTATCATTTGTTGATTTAAGATAATTTTCAGGTAACTAGTTTGGGGAGCCTCTACGGGCAGCCACATTCTTGAAGAAGACAATACTTGTTCAACAGAGAAATTGATTTTTTTCATTGCTGAAATGATGCTATGCAATACATAGACCTGACTGGAAAGGTGTTAATTGTACTCATAAGGTATGAGTACTGATGAAAATGGAGCATCACAGAAGAGAATCGTCCAATTTTTTCAGACAAGCATATTGATAAGGTGATAAACTATATTAGAATAATGCATCCACTGTATGTCAATTAGTAGATTGATTGGAATTATTTTTGCAGCTTACCAATCAAAGGTAAGCTTTTTGAACCTCATATCTGTTCGAAACACGCAAGGAACAAAAATTGTTCAATGATTTAATGTTTAATGGTGTTCTAAGTATGGTAATGTTACCTCAATAAAAGGAGGTGAAATTCCTACTTTGCCAAGAGACTACATTACATGATTGAGTCAATTTCTTGTTTTTTTCTTTTTTATAAATTTTACTCCTAATCTAATCCTTCATGATAAAAAAGGAAGACATACACCCACACACACACACACATGCACAAATATGTCAATGCCATGTTCAACTCATGATCTCTTTCAAACGAGGGAGGTGGCACTGCCTTGGATTATAAGTCTGTTCTACTTTTTACACTATTTTGGGTTTCAAGACTTGTTTATGCTGTAATTACAAGCTTCCATGATTAGTGAGATGCCTTTCTTATAGTCTCGCAATACAAAAATTTGATAAACCCAAAAAAATTATAACAAAAAACTTAGCATGTTATATAGGCAGCCATGGACGCTACACCAACAATGCAAGAAGTTATACATATTCTCTGTTTCCCTTCTCTCTTTCATCTTCACCGCTTTGTTTGTTTACAAGAACCTGCTGCGGGCAGAACAAAAAGGGACGGCCTTGAATTTGGATCTGAACTGCAAGCTGACATTGAGTGTGAAGCATTCAGGGGCTGTGGACAGAGTTCATCAACGGATGAAACCAACCTGACCCATTTGCTCTTAGCCGAGGTCTTGCCCTCCTATCCTACAAAACGGGTCAGTATGCTTGATGAGAGAGGTGCAATGACCTGAATCAAGGCTTAACGGGTGAGGGCCAAATGAGGATGAAGAAGAAGAGGAAAAGTTTATTGCAATTCTACCAATGCCATACTTTATATTCTGGATTTCTTATTTAAAATCCAAATGATGGCAATTGGTCTTTCATTATGCTTAAGTAGTGGTTAAATCGATTCAAATAGTTTTAAAAGTTAGTATGCCTGGAGGAAAAAGTGTCTGCTTTTTGGTCTACAATCATTTCACTATTCACTACTATCTTATTGTATATCACTGAGATTAAAGAGTGATTTGGTCATGGAGAGGTATGAAGAGGGCTGAATATAGCAATTGAAGTGTTTCAAGAATAGAAACTTGGCATTTAGCACAAGATTTGTCATTATAGAGTTCATCTAAACCACGATGTAACTATTCAGCTGTTCATTATTTAAAAAAAAAAAATTGGAGCGGTAATGGTAGCCAAAAAAATTTTTGCTTGAGGTTTTTAGTCCAAATTTTTATTCTTATGCTTATTTGAATAATCAAAGAATGTTCTAGTGTTTATAGGATTACCGACTGCATTTTGTTTTGCAATCCAAGGTTTGGGACCGTGAAAGGGTGGTTATAATTCCTGATCATTATATCTTCACAAGTGATCAACGTGCCAATTGCAATGTGGACATTTTAAGACATTTTTGCCAGGAACAAAAAATAAAGCACATATACGATATTGAAGATTTGAGTGATTTTAAGGTATGCTGTTATTTTCTTCAATATTAATTTGTTATTTTGGATTCTTAGAAGGCGCATGGTAATTTGTTATGGCTATGGCAAAGGAAGGTGGACTTATAACTGTGCAGGCAAGCCCGGATTACAAATGTTTGTGCCATGTTGCTCTTGCTCGGGGAACTCATTGCAGGCCGGGAGAGATTTCCTTGATCTACAAGAAAAAAACTAGTGGTTGACAGCATTTTGTTTCCCTCTTTTATTAACTCATTCTGTTTCTGCAGGTTCTTCTTTGTACTGGTTCTCACACTTGTACTGCTGGAGCATTTGGTCAGTTTGCTACAGGCATTGGTAATGCTGATGCAGGTTTTGTATTGGGGACGGGGAAACTTTTGCTCAAGGCTAGTTGGCTTTTCATTGTGATCTATATGATGCTTTTGCTATTTGTAAATAGTCACTGTATGATGTTTCATTCATCTTTACTGCCAAAAACTTGAGCTTCCCGTGCCAACTGTATCTGTTCTTGAATCTTGACAAATCTAGGGTGAAGTATAATCCTCTCCTTTTGCCTGTGTACTTTCTAAGTGCCTTACCCTTTACCTAATAAACTCATCTCATGTCTTCTAAGCTTGCATATATTTTACATACTGTAGCTATTTTGTGTTAGTGTTTCAAAAGTTTTAGAATATGATTTGGATCATAATATCATGTCTGTGTTTGTGCATTTTAGTATGTTTTAGCGCATCGACATTTAGATTTAGACTAACCTGAGATTCTAATTTTGTTCTTGTTCGAATACTCAAAGAGAAACCCCCATCTTGGAGAAGAACCTATAGACATTGAAGATTTGGTGAACATTGGAAAAAGATTTGGGCCGTATGTTCCTGCTGTTGTGCTTAATTTTTTTCCCAATGATGAAGATTTGGTAAGCATTGGAAAAAGATTTGGGCCGTATGTTCCTGCTGTTGTGCTTAATTTTTTTCCCAATGAAATCAAAGCATTTGAATTGGATTGTTTAATGCCACTTTGCTTCTTCTTTTTCTTTCAACCAATTGAAATTGCCAAGTGCTTGGACTCTCATATGTTTCACATGGCTTGTCTTTACCTCAGGTGTCCCCACTACTTATCAAAAGAACTCCACAAGGCTGCTGATATAGTGTTTGCACCATGCAACTATCTTATTGATCGTGGATCTAGAAAATCTCTGAATATTTCTTGGGAATATAGCATTGATGGAAACCTTGCTGATATATTAATAAAAAGCTGTGATAATAAGAAATACAATAAAAGTTACTGATTAAGTCTTTAACCTTTGTGGGAGAATTAAAGACTCAACCCAGTAGTCACAACCCAAGATCACACTCACTGAACATAGAACGAAGAAAAATGAAGAACAGAAAGAAACCACACTTTTTCCTTACCTCCTGCACACTCCCATACCACCATTATATGTCAGAATTCGTTGCATTGGTCCCCTCTCTTGTTTCTGCCAACTCATCTCTCTTGTTTTTGTTTTTCTCCTACTATAATGTTGGGCTAATGTCTCAGGCCCAATATTTCGTCAGACCCATCAAGCATTCTCATATATGATGAAGCTCATAACCTGGTAAGAATATATGTTTGTGACTGGGGTTTGATTTTCTCCATAAACAAAATTTTGAAATGTTTGTACTACGTATATTGTTTTGTTATCGTAAAATTCAAGAGAGAATAGATAAAAGAAGTCTTTGAATGTGTGTGTATCCTATCCTTATTAAATAATAAATAACTAATTTGACGAGATAATAACTAACTTAATATAATAACTTATTTGAGTAACTAACTCTGAAGATAATAACTAATTTACAATTTAAGCAAGTAACTAAATATTTATCACGTATTCTTACAGTCCTCTTTAGTTCTGTGTTCTGCATTTTTTATTTATAGTTTGCTTATGTGATTCAAATTTTCTTGTCATCAATCACTTGCTGACTTTTTATCTTTATGCGGGAAAGCTTATGTGCTGATGCTGCCTCTTTTGACTTTCCTTTTTGGCTTCTAACAGCTTGCATTTCTGAGGCTCAAAGTTGTGTTGACCTTTGTATAGGCAGAAGAGACAAATTGAATGATAAGTCATGGAATCCAGATAATTTTGCTATCCTTAAAGGTGAACTTGATCCTTAGAGTATGCTCTTGAAGGTTCCTATTTATATGTGATGATATCAAGATGCATGCTTTTTGTTGTTTTTCGTACCATTATTGAGGGCTAGTTGTATTATCTAACGCTTTCTGGTTATATCTGTGGTGAGGCAGGAAATTACATCTATATAACATTTCCATGTTCTAAATTTTTGTCTAAATGATTTGAGACTAGTGGTGTTTTTGCTGGCCTCTTTTTTAATATTTTATAATATTGCATCACTGCTTATAGTACTCAATTATTTTTTGCTGCACTTCTACTAAAACTTGAAAAGTGAATTGCTGACGTATTGACTTTAGCCCATTAACCCACAACAAACCATTTAGATTCTTGCCACTGAATGTCCATGAATCATGGCCTATTAACTAGCAAATATCCCATACATTTCTTCCCAAGACTCATGGGATTCCAACAAAAACAAAACAGATACCAAGGGGAATCCCTTTTCTATAGCAGTATAGGTAGACCAGAAAGTTTGATTTGTTCTTTTTATTCTCACTACATTACTTTTCTGTTTATACTTCCTGAACTATGCTCTAAAAATGCAATATAATAGATATGATCAAGGTTAGTTGTTCCTTTTGATATTTTAAAGATCAAACCCTCTGAACCATAGTCTGTAATCTTGTTTTTGAAGATACTCTTTTCATTCTATGGACACTGAAAGTTGTTTCTCATAGAACTATGTGGTGCTACAGGTGTAGACATTCCTTCAACTTTCTGTTATTATGATTTAAAATTTTGATGCTGTAGGTAAGGCTTCAAGGGTCCTTAGTTGATGGTGCTTTAATCCAGGAATAGCTATGGAAGTTTTTCCTAAGTTGGGCGTTGGCTCTGTTACATTGACTTCTGGCACATTATCTCTCGTGGAATCTTTTGCTCAGGAGCTGAAAATGTTAGAGTCATTTTTGTTATTTTATTTTATTTGATAATATCATTGTTGTCATCATACTTAACAGAGTGGATTCTGGTCATGTCAGAGATTTTCCTATTCGGGTAGCAAAAAGGCATGTGATAACCTTAAATCAGGTATGGGCTAGCGTTGTACCAGTTGGTCCTTCGGGGTGTACTTTTAACTCTTCCTACTGCACACATTATTCTATAGAGTACATGCAGGAGCTTGGTAATGCAATTGGTATGCGGCATTAATTATTTTTTATGTTGAGCTTGTTAAATTTAAGCTTTATGTGTTAATTGTCTCACCATTTTGGAAGCAACTGTCTTGTTATAATAATGAGAGTTCTTCATTTTAATCACTATTAGTGACAGGAACATCACATTCTTGTCATGGCTTAGTCCTGCTTTTTGCATCTAGAAGTATTTCAAATTTTGGAGTGCTTTGTAATGACTCTTAATGCCATCAAAGTTTCCTGTTTATGCATGTCTACACATAATATTGATAGTTTGCTATTGTTACTTGTGGGAATATTAGATTATTATTGTCAATAATTAGTAGTTATTAGTATCATTCATTAGGCTTTATTATTATTTATTAGACTTCATCTCTCTTGATGTATATATATAGGATCTATTTGTACATATACATGAATATATAAGAAATATTATTCTCTCCAAAGATCCACATGGTATCAGAGCCATGCCAATTTTTTAGGGTTTCGGGTTATGGATCGCATATTGCAGTTTGTACAATATTGTGGGGCGTTCATACGATTGTTGCTGGAGGCTTTGTTGACCTTCACTGCCAGCCCTATGAGGAAGAGGAGGCTCCGATCAGCCAAACCTAGAAACATCACGACTAACGGTGGCGCATGTGAGTCACACACGCCTCAACAGTCTTTGGCGCCAAAGACGCTTCATTAGCACGTGAGGGAGCGTGCGTGGTTCAGTATGGCTTTGATGATTTCCTCCGGCGTTGACTTGAAGATTCTGGCTAGATCTTAGTATGTCCTCCGTCTGGGCAACCTTCGTTCATGGACTCTGGCTTTATCCCATTATGTTCTGTACTGCTTTCCCATTTTAATGGGTCTGTGGTGTTTAATTTGTCTTGGATATGGGAGTCGATTTATGTCTGACATTATAGGAATGATAATATTTCTATGTTTCATATCAAAAGTTGCCAAAGCTACACTTGTTGCATTAGTGGCGAAAAAAGGTTCCTTCCTTCAGGCTTTAACAACATCACACAATAGAATAGTGTGAATTGTTGACTTTAGAGCCTCCAACCACATGAAAAACTACCATGAATTGTTTACCGCTTATGCCCCGTGTGTTAGGAATATTAAAATCAAGATTGTAGATGGCTCATTAACACCTGTAGTGGGAAAAGGGAGCATTCAGATTTCAGATTCTATAGTGATGGAATCTATACTTCATGTGCCTAAGCTTGATTGCAATTTACTTTCAGTTAGCCAATTGACCAAGCAATCAAATTGTTATGCTAAATTTCTCCCCTCTTGTTGTGTGTTTCAGGATCTATCATCTAGAGTGACAATAAAAAATATTAAGGAGTATGAGGGGCTTTACTATTTTGAAGTCTCCATCCGAGCAAGTAACTCCTCAATTGTTGGTAATTCTACATCCTCCTCTAAAGTTAATGATTTTATGTTGTGGCATAAGAGGATGGGTCATCCTAATTTTCATTATCTTTAATGATTGTTTCCAACTTTATGTCCCAACTTGAATATTAATGACATTCATTGTGAAGTGTGTGAGCTTGCCAAACATCACAGAACGTCCTTTTCTAAAGCAAAATACACACCTATCAAACCTTTCACAACTATTCACAGTGACTTGTGGGGACTATCTCATACACCCAAAGCAACATGGTTCATTTCCTTTATTGATGACCACACTCACGTTTGTTGGGCTTACCTTTTATGAAATAAATTAGAGGCTGTATCCATGTTCATAAATTTCTTCAACATGATCAAAACTCAGTTTAATACCACCATCCAAGTTTTACACACCGACAATAGCACTGAGTACTTTAACCAATCTTTGAATACCTCTCTCTAATTGCACGGTATTGTGCATACCAGTTCTTGTGCTTATATACCCTAGCAAAATGGGTTACAGAAAGGAAAAATCGCCATATTCTTGACGTTGCTAGAGCACTCATGTTGACCTGTAATGTGCCTAAGTTTTATTAGGCAGATGCTATTTTGACTACAACTTACTTTATCAACCGTATGCCCAGTTGGGTCTTATCTTTTGAAACCCCTCTCCACAAATTGTGAAGTATTTTCTCCACCTCCTAAATTGAAACCAATCTTTCGTTTCGTGTGTTTGGTTGCATAACATTTGTCTATAACCACCAAAGTACCAAACTTGAACCTCGAGCCACCAAGTACATATTCCTTAGCTATTCTCCTACCCAAAAAGGATACAAATATTTTGACCCTATCACAAAACACACGTTTTTTAGCCTTGATGTCACCTTTCATGAAGCTACTCTATTCTATCCCAATTCTTCAATTCAGGAGGAGAACATAGGTGAATCTTAGACCTGGGAACTAGAATCGAACATAGAATATGTATTTCTTGAGCCACTACCTCTTATAATAGAACTATCACCCTTATCAACACCAACCTCTTTTCTTATGCCAAGATTTGAGGAAAACAATAAAGCAGAGGAAGATGTAGAAAGGCCATAAAAGGGAAAGTTATTGGTTTACACTTGAAAAAAAGAAATCCAAAGATAGTAAGCAATTTATACCTGAGGCACCAAGAGAGTCAGAACCAGAGATAGTTCTTGGAGTTGATGTACCAAAGACAGATCCATCTAGTGAGCCAGATGATTTAGAATAAGGAAGTGAACCTGTTGATCTTGATCTACCTATTGCTCTCTGGAAACAACCTCGGTCTTACACTTTACATCTAATTCAGAAGCATATATCCTATAAGGCTCTCTTTTCGAGTTACCAGCCTTTATCACTAATTTGGATAAAGTTGTTATTCCTAACAACATCCAAGAGGCACTGTGAATACTAAAATGGAGAAATGCAGTTATGGAGAAAATGAGAGTTTTGAAAAATGAAACATGGGAGATTGTTAAAAGACCTAGAGGTAAGAAATTGGTTAGTTACAAGTGGTTCTTCACCCCGAAGTATAAGGTTGATAGCACACTTGACAAGTTAAAGGCACGATTAGTAGTAAGAGGTTTTACCCACACATGTAGTATAGACTATAAAGAGACGTTTGCACCAGTTGCAAAACTAAACACTATCAGAATTTTATTATTAGTAGCAGCTAACCTTGAATGGTCACTCCATCAACTAGATATCAAGAATGCCTTTCTAAATGGAGAATTAAAAGAAGTCTACATGACTCTACCTCCGAGTTTGATAAAGGAAGAAGTGACAAAGTATGTTGGCTGAAGAAATCCCTATATGGCTTGAAACAATCACTTAGAGCATGATTTGATAGATTCTCAAAGGTTCTGAAGTCAGAAGGCTATAAACAAGGATTATCAAATCATACGATGTTTGTTAAGATTGAGAAAGCCAAGAAGTACATCTTTATTATATATGTAGATGATATAATTCTTACAGGAGATCATGTTGAGAAAATAACAAGGATAAAGATTGTCCTATGTAAAGAATTTGAAGTCAAGGATCTTGGGAACTTGAAATATTTTCTTGGGATGGAAGTTGTAATGTCAAAATAAGGCATATATGTGTCTCAGAGGAAGTATGTACTTGATCTTTTGAAGGAAATTGGCATGTTAGGTTGTAAACCTAAGGAAACTCCTATTGTGGTCTCGAGAAAGAAGAAGAACTCTGAGAAAAATAGTAAGGAGGTCAGAAGGAGAAGACAACTCTAATGATGAGGTTGAAGAAGAAGAAGGCAATGAAAAAGAAGAAACTATTGATAAAGACATATATCAAAGAATGGTTGGGAAGTTGATTTATCTATCCTATACATGGCTGATATTGCTTTTGTTGTCAGTATAGCGAGTTAATACATGTGTGATCCAAAGAAGAAACACTTGAAAGCTGTATATAGGATTCTTAGATACCTTAAAGGTACACTTAGTAAGGGATTACTATTTAAGAAGCATGATTAGAAGACAATTGAGATCTATACAGATGCAAATTGGGGGGGACCTATGCAGATAGGAGATGTACCTTTGGCTATTGCTCGTTGGTGTGGGGAAACTTAGTAACTTGGAAAAGTCAAAAGTAGACAGTTGTATGTAAAAGCAATGCTGAATCAGAATTGAGAGTATTAGCTCAAGGAATTATAGAAGAACTTTGGATAAGAAGGGTCATGGAAGAAATGCAAGTCAGAGTAGATCCACCAATGAAGTTGTATTGTGATGATAAGGCTACCATAATCATGGCGTTGAATCCTGTACAGCATGATAAATCTAAACATATTGAAGTGGATGGACATTTTATCAGAGAGAAAGTAAAGGAAGGTAGTATATGCTTGACATATCTACCTACAAAGTTACAAGCTGCGGATTTGTTGACCAAGGGGCTACCTAAGCTTGCCTTTGAGAGTTGTACGAGCAAGTTGGATATGATTAGCATTTATGATCCAACTTGAGGGGGAATGTGGGAATGTTATGTTATTATTGTCAATAATTAGTAGTTATTAGTATCATTCATTAAGCTTTATTATTATTTATTAGACCTTATCTCTCTTGATGTATATATATAGGATCTGTTTGTACATATACATGAATATATAAGAAATATTATTCTCTCCAAAGATCCACATTACTAAATTATGTCCTGGTATTTTGTGTTGCACGTGGACATTTTAGTTTTGGATATGAATTTATGATCTGACTCCAAGTGCTAAAGCTAGTCATGAGTTGATTATGTCATCGCTAGCTGATGACCTAAAAAAAGGTTAGGTATAATTTACAAGTGGTTATATATCCGTTGTAGATAGCAAAAGGAGCCAAAAGAGGATCTATATTGAACACTCAAACTTACAAGAATGGATTGAATGCATTCTTAGGGTTGGATATATTTACCTGTGTGGCTTTTTTTTTTTAGAAGATGCATTTTGAGATGAGATATGGTTATAATTATAGTAATCAGGATCATGAATATGATTGTCAGATCATTCAAGCTCGCAATTTAGCAGCCTAACAGCTTGTCAGATTGTTTATCTTGGCTTCAGGATTGTGATGAATATTGTAGAACCTTGAGATAGATTGCCTAATCTTTGCCATCCAGGATGCCT